AATCGAAAGTTAAATTATGTGACACTGGTATTGCGGACCAGCGGCTAAACTATCGTGTACTAGATTTATTTTGCAAACACTCTGGAAAAAAACTGATGTTAAAGGTTACAAATACAGCCTATCGATTGTCCCTTGGCATGTAGGTAATGTTTGACATTGATGATAATCTCTGGTTAGCGGAGTCAGTGTACAAGAATGTTTCAAATGATTTTCTGAAAACGAGAAAGGCTAAATTACGTAAAAACACTCTCCCATGGATGAATAGTAAAATTAGAAAACTGATGAATAAGCGCTGTAAAGCTTTAATTATGACACAAATTTCTAGAGATCCAGCCGACTGGAGTGTTTATAGAAGTCTAAGAAATAATGTCACTAAGGAATTAAGAATGGCTGAGGCGAACTACTGGTCATCCAAGTTAAATGATACTAGAAGTGGCAGCAAGGAATTCTGGAATGTTGTGAAGCTATTGACATGTAAATCTGCGAAATCAAAGCCAATAGGTCCTATTATGAATGAACACAAAGAATTAATTTTCGAAGATTCTAAAATAGCGCACACTTTCAACGTTTTCTTTTCAACAATCGGGACAGAAGGTGCCAAATCTTTTACACCGAGGGAGGTTAACATTGATCCTACTTTTTAAAGAATTACCCCTTCAACAGGTGATTAAGTGTTAAGTGACAAAGCTTTTAAAGATAAATTCAAATTGATCAACGAAAACAAAGCTCAAAAAATGTGCGCGAAATGTCGGGTCGCAACAACACTCAGCCACCATGTTGTCTTCGATGTACTGTTTTACGAAAGGAAAGACTGTCCTCTCAAAGTCGACAGCGAGGCTACAATAAACTCACTTTCATCGTAGAAATACCTCGATACCTGAAAGACCACGTTTGTCGAACGTAGCTCCCAATATACGTCATTCGGCTCCAGAAAGCGTGCTGCAAATGCTGGTTTTAAAGGTAAACAATTCGGAGAAAATGCCTTTGTGGCACTTTAAGTGGCACTTCTACAGACCATTTTGACGCGTGCGCAAACAAATTGCCCTCCTGTTCTTAGCGCCAGGGACATGAAAACGAAATGTTCTCTTAAACTAACAGCTATTTTGGGTATTTTTTGGGCGTTGTTCAGTGTTTTTTCCAATCTTCCGCAACACAAAGAAACTCTTCCTTTTAAAAAATTGCTATTTTGATCCGGAGAAAACAAATATCGATTTTCTTTGTCTCAGGTGTAATGCCGTAACCATGTTGTGTAAGTCTGTGGTATTTTTAAGTAAACCTGACGTCAAGTTTCCAACTTCTGTTATCTTTTCAGCATCTTGAACGACAGCAAGTGGGGCTGATGCATCTTATAGGTATAATCAAAGACGACTTACAGGACCTTGGTACTGTAGAGCGCGGACTACTTACTGAACCTCCTTCCAGCAAAAGTATTTCAACGTAACCTACCAAATGAATGACTACCCCAGGACCCAGTTATGGAGAGAGTTTCTATTTTGAAGAAATACTTTTAAAAATTACTGGAGTCCCGAACTTGATAGTTTAAGACAAAAAGGAACTTATGCTGTTGACCTCTCTGGGTTGGTTTACAGAAAATATTGGAGGAATTGTTTAGGACTCACGGATGCTCTTATTCGCTTAAGTCAGATTAGTATTTACCAAATCAGTGAATAGCAATTTTCGTGCGTTTTGATTGGCTCCCCGTAACTCGGACTATCCTTGGCTATTCTCTGTTTCGCGACCGGAGCCAAGATGGCGTCTCGTTTCGAGACATTTTCAAAAGACGAAATTTGAGCGATAAATGAAGCAGTCGTGCAAGAAAATACCAAGAAAGCTACGAACTTTGGCTTGTCGATGTTTACTGGTAGGTAGAAAATTACTGTCATGCTGAATTTGCAGCGGAAACGTGAAAATGTACTTGACAAATCCCCGAAATGTTTGTAAATTGTAAATAAAGTTCCTACTAAGTGACGCTTTTAATTTACAGAAAGTTAAAGGTTTTTCATTTTTATCCAACTGATTTGGTAAATACTAAAACAACTATCCCCCTCAGGGTCGGTGAATACCCTGGATACTATTCACCTCCCCTTCCGGGGATAGTTGTATATTTATCCTCCCTTATACCGGTTGAGTGTTTGACGCCTGTACAGTAATATCTCAAGGTACAGAATTAAAGCCGCGCCTTCTAATCAACATGGAATTGTTTCAGTTTGAAATTAAACAAGACCCGCATATAGTAAGGATTCACTGGGTTACCGACTGCGTGATACAGTGGTTTATTATTTTGGGAAGGATAGATTATGATTACACTTTTTACCGGCTTGAGTGTAGAGCTACTCCTAACCTGTGGAATGGGCTAGAGATAGCCTTTGAAACAAGAAACGATTGGCATTATTTTTACCCGGAGCATTTCGACAACTCTCTTCCTTCACCCATCCCTCTGCCCCCCAAAATACAGGATGACAGTACGAACGCGACTAACCGGAAATTTCAAAAATTATTTCGTTCTACACTCATAAAATGCGACAGGATCAATTTTGTTGTTTTAAATACTTTTTTAACAGTATTTTTCTTTTTCTTAAAACTCGCAAAGCAAATTAAGTTTCAGTTTTATTCCTGTCGGATGTTGCATTTAAACCCCAGTTTTCATCGGAGCCACTCAGGGGTGAACTTTTTACTGGGCTGCCTGTGGAACAGCCCAGCTATAAAGTGGGCTTGGTTTTTCCTTCTGGCACAAATCGCACTATGGCGTGCGTAAGATGTAAAAGTATGCGTAGAATATACAGAGGCTGTCGTTGTTTCAGTGTTGAAAGAATTGCGTGTGATGTAGACAAAACAAATCAATTGACCGGAACTGTTTACGTAACGATTCCGAGGTAACAACAAAGGTGAAAGAAGATATAAGATCTCACTATGCAAAGTATGTTTTCTTGCTAGGAAAAATAAACAGCGTGATGGTGAGCCTAGTCCTTTTGGGCCTTTTTACAGACCGCAATGGCGCATTTCCCTACCCTTTCATATATCTCAGCTATGGAAGTCTTTACTCTTCTTTATACATGAAGCCTAAAAAGGGTCCCCGCCCCCCATGATTGCTCAAAAAATTGGTTGAGTTAATTTTAATCCGGTCGGTTCCCACTGCTTTCTCAAACCTTATAAAAATGCTACTAATAACAAACCAAAAAATCTCTGTCCATGTCGAACCAGTTTGGTATAGTTTAGACAATGTAACTCTTTTCGGCCGCTCTAACTAAGCTCAATGGTATTGCACGCAATAACAGAAAACTTCAGATGCGCTGAAGTTTTTCTCCTACGAACGCGACGATTTTTTTATTGTTCTCTGCACAAATAGCGACATGCTGTCAACAAAACAAACAAAGTTTAGATAAACTAGAGATACCCTGTGGCACGACATTTTTGCGCGTTCAAATTTTTCCAGCGATCGGCAAGAATAAGATTTCGCCAAAGAAAATCACCGTAAACATTTTCCCCGCAAAAATTTACTCCAGAGTAAACATACTCTAACTTACATTCGCCACACAAAATACAGTACCAAGAAATTGTGTCTTTTCAATCACAACTTGCCTCTTTCATTCAGAACAAAACGGTATAAAATGAATTACTGGTTTTACAGTCAAACCAGGTCAAGCGTTCCCGTCGCTAACGAACTAATGAATTCATTCACGGAAAAATAATTTCGTTTGTTGATCCAATACTCCATTCATAAAATAAACAATCCAATAGTCATATTTAGCCTCGATTCCATAATCGAATGTTGATTCGATTACTGTTTTTTTGAAAAATTACACTTTCCACAAGTTGACCTCAGAATTTTGTTTTTTCCTTTTTTTTTTTTCTGAGACTCGAGTGCTGGCGAGTTCTGAAGTTCAAACCCAAACAAACTGTTACATGTACGCCAGTTTGCTGCCAATAATCAGTGCAACAGACCTAGGCCTGACCCCTTAGAAAACACGACGGTCAAACTGAGGTCAGTGTATGTGCGGTGATTGCAGCCTCGTTCCCAGTCGTCCTCGGCGATTTCGGATGTAACGTCACCTGTCAAGCTTGTCGGGAAAATTCGCCTAGGACTATCGCGCTCGGTTCCAAGCCTCCTCTGGTCACTCGGATAGCGCGAACAGGCCTGGGTACGAGGCTGCGGTGATTGGTGGATTTCGATCCTCGGCCTTTGTCAGTTTCTTTGCGTTTGCGGTCTGTCTATTCTAGCTGTTATTTTGATTAAAGGCAATGAAAAACGCAATCGTAAACGGCAGGAAAAGGGAAGCAAATACGATTGAACACAACAGACAAGAATAAAGAACAGGTAGATTTTGTTCATAAACCAAATCAACATTTGATTATTGAATCGAGGTACAATTTGACCGTTGGATTATTCATTTTATGAATGGATTATTGAATCAACAAACGAAATCATTTTTCCATTAATGAATTCATTAGTTTGTTGGCGACGGGAACGCTTGACCTGGTTTGACTGTAAACAAGGTACCCATTACTCGTAGTACTGTTTGAAAATATGTACCGCATTTCCTCGAATAATTGCAGGCGGCTATTATTATTTTTTTCGCACAGAAAGGAAGCGATTATTCGAGGGTAGGCGATTATTCAAGGAGGGAGGCGACTATTTTAAACATAGCTCACTGGAAGTCGTTCCCCTAAATATTTTGTTTTATTCTGCCATTAAATAAAAAAAATTATCACATCAAATTAACTAGACGTGGGCTTTTTTAGTGCTCCAATTTTAGTTATAGGTCAATATCCTCGGCGTCAGAGCTTGAATCGTCACTGATGAGTTTTGCCGCATCAGAGTCCACTTCAACTTGACAGGGAGGGATAAAAGAAAGAGAAGATGGGGAGAAGGTGTGGGGAGACGATTATTCGAGGAAGGCGATTAATCAAGGGACGGCTATCATTCGAGGTATTTCTATTGTACCCTGATTGCACGTACTTAGCAAGAACGAAAATATTATCAATGCTGGGTACTGGTTCCCTGCTAGCAGAGGTCTCTCATTTTTCCTTTCATTTTTGCCTCGTCGCCAGAGACTTCTGCTACAACCAGTTGCAAAAATGTTGCGACACTCCCACCTTTCTTGTTCAAATCACTGCTGGTCACAGGTCTGTAAGATATAATACTGATCTCCCTCGTCCCTCCCATTCAAAGTTGTTCCTCCAAGTTTTGAGCATGGTCTTGTATTGCTAGCAACTTTTATAAGGGGTGGAGGGGGGATCACAAGCACAAGATCGAGGACAGGCCATTTATGCCAAATTACGGTGTAGTGTCTCAAGTACTTTTGCAACTGGTTGTGGCAGGGAAGGTACTGGGTACTTTTTGAAAATCGCAAAAATTAATTCTCAGCGGGAAAAACCAATGGGTCGTAACCGCAAAAATTAGTTTCCGCAAAACAGAAAAAATCACCAATGCGCAAAAAATGAACTCCCGCAAAAATTTCGTACCACACGGTATGCCCACCTAGCTTGTTTTGTATCGACCATCAATAATCAATCATCTATTTATAGTCTCAGTTCAAACAGTTTAATGAGACCCTTGGGTTGGGGTGGTGTCCGAGATGGGAATGGGTTTAGTAGGGTTACTTCTTTCTTCCATAAGCTGTCAGCTGTCTGTTGTGCTAAACTTCTCGTTTTCATACAATACATAATTTCTATCTAGTCCAGGTTTTATGGCAGCCCAGTATGCACCTTCTGTTGTCTAGTTTCCGATTCAAGAGGCTGTCTCAATTTGACGTGAAAAATAATTTTGCCTGAAACTCTGGCGAGTGAAATACTTTATCGAGGCTATAACTAAAATAGGTTTGCTTTGATTCACAATAATTTTCTGGCCGCGCTGGGGGGCTCCGAGTACTGTATTTTGTCCCGCCACGGGCATTTTGCACGTCTTGAAAACTGAAAATTTGGCATTTTTGTGGCGCTGTAAAATGTTTGATTTGCACCATCTACCAATCAATTTTATACCTATTTATAGGTAAACATCTCTAGTTTTTCCTGAAGATAATAGTTATCCGCTAAATTTAGCTGGAAAGACGAAATCAAGCAAAATATGACCACAACTAATTGCCTTGGAGCGAAAGGCCAAAAATGAACCTGTTTTAAAAGCTTATTTCTGACGTTTGGGACTTAGTTGAAAGCTCTAGACTAAACAGATGCAAAGATAGACCATCTGTTATTAATAATATACAAAACCCCATGTACGATTTCAGTATTTTAAAAGTTATGACCGTTTGTATCAATGCGTATGCGAGCTAATACGATATTTTCAGAGTTAGCGTAACGGATCCATCTCAAGCAGATTTTGTCAAAAGTACGGCTTACCTAATTCATTACTGGCACTGACTCACAAATTGAGCCATATTCCAATCCCTGAGATGGCGGACTCCATAAAATTCCAGTAAATGTGCTTTCCCTTCTGCCAACTTT